TACCTACTTACACCTGGGAAAATATGTTAAGACACATAAGGAAAATTTTCAAGGAGTTTTACAGCTGTGTAAAATTTCTGAAATTGGAACGATTGTGTTAAGTCAGAGTATTTTGCCTCCATAGAAGAAAATTAAGTGAGATGAGAACAGAATTTTGCTTTTCGGAAACAAAACACCCCCATATTCTGAAATGCCTCTACAATAGACCAACGCACCCAGTCGGGAACTCCTAGCATTTGACTCCATATTGTAAGAATTTCACGAAAGTTATTTGCCAAGTAGTTGACTGAAGCGCAGTGGGAGGAATCGGGGACCGTTTGCCCGACGTGCTGGCGGGCCCCTTTTAGGCGGGAAAGATCACGCCACGGCCAGAGAGCGGGTTCCTTAAAATCGCCAGCGGTCGCCTCCCGACCCCTTTCCGCCGACGGCTTTCTTGATCCTCCAGAGGCACACAGTGATGTGTTCTTAACTTCCCGAAAGGACGGCGCTGAGGATCCATTTGAAGACAGCCCCATTTTAGGCTTGGCCTTTGAGGTGGGGGGGGGTCATTTTCTTGGGTTCCCGATTCCCCTCCCCCTTGACTTCACTAACATCTCATACATAGATAAAGGCATTAAATTGTAAGTGATACATGTCTGGAAATGCAGCAAAAATAGTAGATTGTGCCAAGTGTTTTTTGCCATAGTGGTGGGGGCAAGGATTTCTTTTGTTCGGTGCTCTTGAGGACAAGATGACAAATGTAAAAGTCCCTTGATTAGTGAGAAATCACCAGCCTTCGGTGGAACGGTTCGACTTACAGAGGAGGTGGTGATGTGAAGAATAAAGGGAAAGGTGACTGCGGAGAGAAAGGAGAGAGGAAGTTTCGGGGGCGGGAGGTGGAGGGAAAGGGCAGATCTGCTGGCCCGGGGGTCTCGGCGACCCTGGGGCGCGCTGCGTGTGAAGGTACGGGACTGCGAAGGCAGCCCTGTTGGCTGCAGACCCCGGCCTTATTTGCGGGGAGGAGAGGACGGGTGCAGTTGCTGGCCGCAGTGCCACAGTCTCCTTCTAGTTTTAAGAGCCGAAGCATTGTTTCTGCTTTAATAGAAGTCGCTCAGTGCTTATCGATGAAAACAACGACGGTGGGCTCTGGCACCTCTTTGGGCTCCTTGCATTGTATTGTTGGAACAAAAAACGGCTGAGAAAATACGTACTTTTTTAAATGGAGAAATCTAAGATTGTGATAAGCAACGGGCATATGATAGGTTATTTTCTTGATTCCCACCCCCTCACCCCCAGTGCGCTGACGATTCTTTGTAGCTACTTGAACTCATTTTAAAGACATTTTGAAAGAACTATGATAAATCAAGCTACTAAAACAGTTGGCTCTCACAGGTATAAAACATGCGTTTTGAGTCAAACGCAGGTTCCTTCTGGTACTAAAACCAAGTAGGAAATGAGAAAAAAATTGAAACCAGAAGACTTCAGGAAGGTGACAAATTGGAAAGCATTCTAGGAGAGTCATAGGGCTATTTTATGTGAAAGAAGCCCCCTATGAGGTTTAAGAGATTATGGTCAGTTTATAAAAGGACCTCAGGCTCAAAGGATTTGGGGGTGGGGGTGGGGTGGAAAAGACGAATCTAAGAAAGACAGTGCCATATTCCAGAATTGCTGAGTTGATACTTTCTGTCTGTTTCTCCACCTCTCTCCTTTTACTGCCTTCCCTTCTTCCTTCCCCTCCCTCCACTTTTTCCTCTCTTCCTCTCGGTTTGCCTTAAATTCTTTGTGAATGAATTTTAGAGGATTTCTCAGAGTTCCCAGTTGGAAAAAGCCTTCTACACAACTTGAAAGGCTGATGTCCCTCTCAGGAAATGAATGAGTCGATAACCTCTGACTCCAGTGACCAGTCCAGTGAACCCTACCTTAATTCCACTAATACTGGAGGCTCCCAATCAGGCAAGACTGTGAATCTCATAACTGTACCATCCAATGTGGTTTGATTATATTTCACACGTTTAATCTATGTATTGATATATTTGAATTTCATCAAATTTAACAATAAGCAAGGATCCAGAATCCACCCATATATTGTATTTATGATTTTATAATGATTAAACTCTTTTCAAATTAAAAAATTTATAGATAAAATATTGTTTACTGTAAGTGTATGTCAGTAACAAAACTAAACCATATTGGCTTGTGAGTTTTATGATAATTACTTTTACATAAAGAAAAGCACTTCGCCTTAATTTAGAAGACTTTTCTGATTATTTTTCTGTGATATCAAATGTTGATTTTTAAAAGTGATTACTCTTTAATGTAAAATATAAAAAAACTATAGAACTTATTTTATATTAGTTTTTCTGTTTTATATTCTATAAAATGTTTAACCTGTAATGCCATGATTAAACTTACTTCATTATAGGTCAGTGTAATCAGTTGATTTCCACTTTTACAAAATGCCTAGTAAATGTTTTGTTAGCAAATAATTTTTTTTTCAAATCCCTGATGAAGCTTTTGTTACTAGCAAAATCGTTTGGAGTTTTTCACTTTTTCTTTCCTCCTCACAAGCTAACACTTTGATATTCCCCCCAAAATAAATAAAACGAGAAAGCTTGTCTCCTTGTTCTGAAAAACAACAAAAGAAATAAACAGATGGAAAATCTTCCCAAATTGATCAGCCTGATTGACGCCTTTCCTCACAAACAGCTGAAAATAACTTCTATTTTTATAAACATCTATCTCAAATCTCAACCAAGTAGTATAAATTTATATTTAGCTGTTTAATGGGAGGAGGGTGTGTAGTGTAATGAGGTATGTCAGTTTTTTCAAAAGCTCTTAGATTCAGAATCCCTACATTTTTGTGTGAAACAGTGTTAGAGTTAGGAGTGTGGACGTGTTTAGAGACGGGGTGGGGGAGATCGCGGGTATGGTGGGGGAGGGTCAACTCCGTAGCTTTGCCGAAGGGAAGTGGTATCTGTAGTTTCTCTGTAAACTGCTTGTTTAAGAAAATGGGGGGTGGGGTGGGGGAAGAATGGTGGTGCGTTTTAATATTTCAAAACGGGTGATATTTTATATTTTAAAGGAAATAAATGTGGAAATAAAGCGTTTTTTAAAACTATACTGTTCACTGTAGTATTCGATGAGGGCGGTAATATTGGCATCAGCATCTAGAAATCAACAATCGTTAGAATAAGTGAACCAATTTGAAAGGTAAAGGGCAAGCATTTTGCAAGTGGGGGCGGGCCGCGCGAGGGATGGTAGAAACCTAATCCGTTATTAAATTTTCGTTTATTCGACTTTTCTAGCCGCCGATAATGGACTTTTGCAATGTCAGGGTCCAGTCAATACGTTATGAATTTACCTTTTCCTCCGACTTACCCCTCTTTCTTCCTCTCCCCCACCCCTAGCTCGCGCCTGCTTTTTCTCCACCATCTCTTTCTCTGGCTCTCAACAGCCGCCTCTCCTGGCCGCTCCTCTTCACCTCCCCTGCCTGGCGCTCCCCTCCCCCTCCCTGCCCTACGTTGTCTTGCTGTTGGGGAACAATCGCCACTGATTGAGGTTCACTCTATGTTAGGCTGGAAAACTGGGCTGTTATTTAGGAAGTCATTAATCACATCTCCTCCCCCGGAAAGAGATGGCGGAGAAACCTGTGAAGTACAATTCCTCACCAACCCCCTCCAAAATGTTCCGAAATGATAAACCTAAACACAATTTGACTACATGAAGGTGATAGTAATTTTCCACTAGGGTTTTATTTTAAATTTGAAAAATTTCAGGGCACAATCAGATAATTGTGTGCTTTTACGTTTTTGTAGGTGTATGTTAATCATTATCTAAAAGTTTCATGGGGATGCAATTAGGTTTAATTAGATCTTTTGTAAATTATATATTTTCCTCTCAGACGCGAACTAAATATGAAATCAGCGTCCCAAGCAGGTTTACTGCTAGTGTGCAGCTGAATTCTTAGGGGAAAAAACCACGTAACATCGGTTGCTTTATTTAAATGACTTTTTTCTTAAACGAGATTATTTAGACAGGCTTGTGTGTAAGGCACGCGTGTGCACATATATGACTGCCGCTTTTCTAAACCGACGATTCACAAGAACCCTCCATTGTGTTTAAGTAAAAGCACGAAATCAGCATTCTGATTTATCGTAAAGAAGCGTCCCAAATTGTCTTTAGATAACATGTTAGAGTTTTTCTTGTTCATTCATAAATTATTTTGATGTCAGCATAGATGAAATGGCGATTGGTTATCTCTTCCTCTTGCCAGCCCCTTAAGGATCCGAGGTGAAATTAGTAGCAAGAAAGCATGTAATTGACAAAGTCACGTGTGCTCAGGGGGCCAGAAACTGAAGGAGAGAGAAGAGAAAAAAATCAAAAGAGGGAAAGCACATAAGACCATGCGAGCTAAATTTGTGATCGCACAAAATCAAGATGTTAGATTGATGCAGAAGATCACTCCGTTCCAAAGGGAAAGTTTCCATCTGACGAGTTTGGAGCAGAGGGCCGGCGGGGCAACATGGCCGAAGGTTAATTTTCTTTTCTATTGTTTTACTCTGATTTTCTCTCTTCCTTTCCCCCCCTCCCCCTCTCCCACCCTTCTTTGCCGGTCCCCCCCTTCCTCTTTTACCCCAATACTGGGCATTACCCCCACCCCCCATCGCGCAATGGGGCTTTCTGCAAACCTATTGTTATAGATCTCCAAAAATGTTTTGTACCGCCCACAGTGATTCACTACTTGAAAAGCTTTCAGGGGGCTATTGTTTGAATTGTTTGAGTGTGATTAAGCGCAGTTTCAGTTAGTGAGCCAAGAAAACTTTTATACACCTGCCCCCTCCCCCACTCCACCCTAACTTTAATTGAAAGTTATTGGGGGGAGGGGAAAGCACATTGCAAATAACCCTGGATTCGCTGCTGCAGCATATGCATTAACTAGTAGTTGTAACCATCTTCACGATTTCTCTTTCCTCCTCGTGCCCGCCGGAGAGAATAGTTTCGCTGAAAATTACTCTTTGTAAATGGGATCAGTGTTAAATCAGCAATATGCAAGTAAAGTATCGCATGCTATACTGTAATATGTACCTGAAAATGGAGTTAAATGAAAAAGTACACGTATGTACAGAAACGTGGAAGTTGATGGGATCAATAGAACAGTTTGGCACACCCATCGCCTGCTTCCTTATTTTCAAAAAAATATTTTCTGGAGAAGAAAATAATCAAGTCATTTAGTAACGGTTTTGTTTTTTTTTTTCTATTCTACCCCCTTCCCAAGCAATTTTTTTTGTCTTTTTCAATAAACACATTATAGGAATACAGACTAATTGACTTTTTTTTTGTCCGGTTCTATCTCAGGCGGGGCAAGCAAAGGTGGAGGAGAAGAGCCCGGGAAGCTGCCAGAGCAGGCAGAGGAGGAATCCCACGTTTTGCACGGAACTGGCCACTGTAAGTGGTTCAATGTGCGAATGGGATTTGGTTTTATCTCCATGATAAACCGAGAGGGAAGCCCCTTGGATATTCCAGTCGATGTATTTGTGCACCAAGTAAGCCAAACTTTTTTTTCCTCTTCACCTTTTTCCATGTGAAGTCGTTGATCAGTATTTGTCAATGGATGTACAATAATAAGCCCTTAGCTACACTGAAAGACACAATCTTAAAATCATGAGTTAATCCAGTTTTTAGGGTTCACATGGGCCCCTTCCTAGATAATCTTTTCCTAAATAGCAAATGAAATCTTTGAAATTTCACTACTTGGATGCTGGGTAACTTAATAGCATTTCCCCCTCTTCATTCAGTAACGAAAATGTGGTAGTGTAGCTTCCGGTGTTATCGTTGCAATATACTTTGTCTCCTATACCTGATGAATGAATGAAGAAACAGTGATCATTTTAAGGTTAAAAAAAAAAAAACAACTAAAACAGTTTGCTGTTACAAGAAATGTATTCTTCCCCTTATATAGTGTTGGATACCACTAGTGAGAGTAACTCCTACTGTTTAATCTCTGCCTGCCCTATAGTCATTTGTAGATCCAAATAAAAATAATTTGATTTTACAGGTAAAATAAAGTAGATCACTGTTGGCTAGTATGGTTTTGGAAAAACATGAGAGTGGATACTTGGTAATCAAACATTTTAGCAATGTGCTTGCTTCCTGTAAGGCATAGGTCCAAGGATACTGTCTCTTTAAGAGACTGAACTTAAAAAAAAAAAAAAAAAAAAAAATGTGGCCAGAGGCTGCTCTAGTTTGTGTGTTTAAAATGTGCCGGTCGGTTACTTGGGGTAAATTTCCACCGTTGTTTATATCGTGTTGTAGTTTTTAAAGATTCTTAAATACCAAACAGAATGTCATTGCTTCCCATTTTCAAAATTTTACTCAGGAGAAAAGAAATTAATGCCTCTTCCCCATTCACTCCTCTCAGTTGCTTAATCTCTTTATAGTAAAAAGATATTTAGAGTTTGCAAGCTTGATTGTTTCATCGAAAGTAGTTAAAGAAATATAAATTATCCGTAATGAATTCATAGATAGAAATAAGAGTGTATAGAATTAAAGAGGTTTATTTTGGCTTGACGTCTTAAGTTAAAAAGAATGAGTGGCTGTTAATGGTCCAAGTTGACTGATACATGCCGGAAATGCTTGGTATATTTGCATGAAAATTATGTAATTTGTTTGATACCATGTTGCATGTTCCTGGCAATATTTACCCTGTTTCGCCCCAAGGAATACCGTCTTCAAATTAAATATATAAACAATAGAAACATACGAAACCATTCGGTTTTGATCTGTTGTTCTCTGGTGCTTAGTGGCTTCCTGACCTTGCTGTGTGGTGTCTGTTTTCCTTTCCTAAAGGCCTGGCCATCATTATTGGCTGTTTACTTGTGGAAGGATCAGCTTAATCTGTGAATTGAAACAGGGTTTAAATACGTAAATAGAAGTCCACATACAGGCTACTGGATTTTATGCCTCCTACTTTATATTGCAAAATGAAGCCACATTTTCTGCTTTTTCCTCCCAAGACTGAATGACTGAAATCATTGACAAATCCATTTTCTCTCAGGCTCTTGGTTCCCCCCTTTGAACCTTCTTTAGGTTGTTAAATTGTACTTTACGATCTCATAAATTTGTTTTATAGATGAATGAAAAAAAAAATAGCCCTCTTCTTCTTTGTCTGATCACACCTTGGTATAATTTGTTTTTCTGTGTTTACCTTTTAAAATATTTAAATATTAAACATTTTATTTTTCAAAAGAGTATGTTTAGAACCATGAGCCATCCAAATTTAAGCTATTTAATGATTATATGTTGATAAACATGCTGCATCCACTAAATTAAAAAAAGCAATATTGCTGGAAAAGGTTTTTTTAAATAGACAGCTAACAGTTTCTGGAGTATCCAAATTGTTAATATTAGACTTGTTTTAATCTTCTGTTACACACCATATATTTCCTAAAAGGACAGTATTGAAATGATGTATGTGATAAAAATTCTTTTAAAATATATATATTTATATTCTTAAGAAGAATATATCTAGATACATTCTTTAGGCGAATAATGTAAACAGTCAATAAAATTAAGTGTTAGCATTTTGGAGGGCATGTAAAAAACCAGGTTGGTGATAATATTTAAATTTAAATTTAGAAAATGACATTTTAGGGAATTTTTTTGATGATTGCAGCATTTGCTTTTTGAAATATGTCTCAGTTTATTTCTAGGTAAAACTTAAGTATTAGTTGCTTTATTCTTTGCTTCTTGACTTTGATTCCTACTTAAAGAATTTTCTATCTGATATTTTGATTTATATAAATTTTGTATAAACCACATGAGTAATTGCTTTGAAGAAGGTAGGAATTTTAGCCACGCCACTATGCATACCAGTTAGATGGTCATAAATGATGTGTACAGGTATCATGTGTGTATCACTTACAGGTTCAAGTTAGAATTCAAGTCAGAATTCAGAACCATTTCATAAAAATTTAAAAAATTATTATTTTAGCTGTTATTTTTTTGCTGTGCCAGCATTTTTTAAAGCATAACCAGGGTTTGTATATAAGTTATGTTTGATTTTTTTCATCTATTACATGTATATACTATTTTGTTATAAAAGTATGTGCATTGTAGATAATATAACATTTTAAATGTTTCATTGTACCAGTATCGACTAAAACTATTTTAAACATATGCTGTAGTTTTATTGTGTTCAGAAGTACTTATGTATTGGATTTTTTTTAAGTATTCTGAAACATGTGTCTAATAATATATATTTGGGGAAATAAATAAATGGTTTTAGTTTCTTTAAAATCATATTTAAAAATTCATGCAATGACACCCTGGATTTTTTGTCTTCTTTTATAAATGTAATTGTAAACAATGCACATCAAAAATACTTCATTTGCTGTGAAATGAAGAGGATATTTATGTATTTTTTAAAAATAGAGCTATACATTTATAGTTACATAAAATTTGTTTGCAGGAAAACAATACAGCTTTTTCTTTTATTTCTATGATGTCATAAACTCCTCAGAAAGAAACACATGCCTAGGCACTGTACTTTTTCAATGAGATGCTAGTGTCTGAGGCTAATGTGTGATCATTGGTGGTTTAAAATAACTATCTTCATTTGATCTTCTATTGTAAACTTGTGAATTAAATGATCATATTTTTGTGGATTGGTAATATGACCAATTGACCTATGTTTATTGTAAAACATTGATCTCGTCTTCAATAATGAATAGTTTATTTTAAATAAAATAAAAAGATATAAATATCATAGTTGCGAATTTTGTGACACGTCACTGTTTTGAAATGTACCTTAAAATATTTAACAGAAATTTAAAAATTATGAGTTAGTTTTTAAGTAGGAGAAGTTTTTTGGAATTTCTAAAGGATCCAAAGCACACCAGAGATTTTTTCTCAATTGAAATAAGAGCATCACACTTATGTGTATATGTAACCAACCTGAAGAAGTTATGTAACTCTTTGGAACTTTTTGAAATATTATATGCTGCCAGTAAACGAAAAAAGCAAACCTGTTGTTGTTGACTCAATTCCGACTCGTAGCGACCCTGTAGAACAGAGAACTGCCCAATAGGGTTTCCAAGGAGCAACTGGTGGATTCGAACTGCCAGTCTTTTGGTAAGCAGCTGTAGCTCTTAACTGTTTTGCCCCTAGAACTCCATATAGGCCTTAAGTATTTGGTGATACCTTAGGGGTGTCTCAATGAGTCGGAATCTACTCGATAGCAACGGGTTTGGTTTTTTTGGTTTTAGGTGCATTGCATAGTAATTACGTATTAGATTTAGTTTGGAAAAAGGCAGTGTTACCCAATAACTACCTCTTGATGTTTGTTATCATGTAAGTTTTTCTTTATTTAGATTTTGATATTTATTTCCAAAGTCATTATTTCTCCTAATAAGATAAAATGACCATTTGGCTTTCTTTTATTTAGGGGAGGAATAAATCCATTCTCTTTATTGCCCTCTCCTCCGTTCATTTGCACAATAATTATTTTTTCATATGTTGGTTTTAGACATGTTTGGAATTCTTTGCTGTCAAATATGATACAGAGAATTTTCAACATAAATGTATTTCCTTTATTTCATAGTTTATAGAAGTATATTTTTTCCAGAGGGGAAGAATAATCTCAAAATGACTGCAATTTAACTACAATTATGCAGCAGGCTCAAATATTTATTAATAATTTGGTTTTGAAATCTTTTCTCTTTTATGTATTGACATTTTCTTGTTAGGCTCTTTATTTTTATTTATATTTTGATGTTTATGGATAATACAAACTTCCATATTACAAATATTTTGTATATTTTATGTTGCTATTTTTGCTTTGCTTAGAAAACATCTCAATGAATAGTAGAAACAAGAAATAAAAATAATGTATTATAACCCGTTAACCCGTTGTCATCAAGTTGATTCCAACTAATAGCAACCATAAAGGACAGAGCAGAACTGCCCTATAGGGTTTGCAGGGGTGTAAATCTTTATGGAAGCAAACTGCCAGATCTTTCTCCCGTGTAGTGGCTGGTGGGTTCAAACCACTGACGTTTTGATTAGCAGCCCAGTGCTTTAACCACTGTGCCAGTATTATAACTGAGATAATTTGAAAGGATTATTATTAGCAGTATGGGGTATGAGAAGCATTTGGAGATGACTAATATTTAAATCTCTGAAAACTTTAAGTAATTATTATAGACATTTTAATCAATTGATGTAGCATAGAAATCATGCCTCAAAGTTTTCAACATTAATTGAACAATTTATGAAAACAGATTCACTCCAATATGTTCATATATTTAATGGCTTTTCATATTATTTCATCACCACTTTACTATCCATGTCCACTTTTGTCACGTAGTTTAACATGAAAACATTTTCCATATTTTTTGCATTCAGAATCAGTGTAATTAAAATTAGGCTTTGGGCAATTTAAAGTGTCAGTTTCAAAACTTATTTGGCCATAGAAGGAGAAATCTTGGAAATGTTAACATGTGATCATATAACTTCCTTTTTTTTTGTAAAGTTGAGTTATATATTT